CTGACAGTGATGATGTCGATACCATTGGAAGTGGTACTAATGCAAATAGTTTCATTCAATGCGATATTTGTCGAGTAACTTGACGCGTTTCATACGCCGTGTCGTATTGTTGTTGCGTTTCCCTTTAAAAATATCTCTTCAAAGCGTTAAATAATTTCTACCGTCTTTCGTAACATCGTTCCAGACGATGGTTTTCCATTTTCTCTGATATGACGAACGGGCCGATCAAGTTAATCTGTTCGCGAAGCGATTCGATGAAAGAGAACGTTTATAAAAATTCGAAGCGACACGCGATCGAACCGATTTCCTATTTCGAGGCATATTAGTCACGAATTGGCAGTAAACATTCGTAGTTAAGAACACCGGTACGATCTTCTACAATATTTTTCAACATATTTTTCTGATTATATTTTAAAGGACTGATCGAAAGTTAATCTGTTCACGGAACAATCGACCCTTCGACAAAAGGGACAAAAGGGATGCTCCTAAAAATTCAAAGCGACACACGATCCTGTACCGATCTTCTATTTCGAGGCAGGTTAGTCGCCCGATTGTTAAAAATCAGGATCGTGTCCCAAGTGACAATCGGTAGCTAAAGGCACCGGTACGGTCTAACAATAATCTACGGCTCGTCGGGCAGGTAAGGTCGCCGAGTAAAATCGCGAAGCTTAATGGTGGTAATACCGTCGTGGCCGAGCCTTGTATGGCATTAATAATGCAGTATATTGAGATTGGTTTTGCTGCGAGAACACCGGGGCAGAGCCACAGGGACCTGACCTAGGCATCCACCCAAGTTATTCGCGCCACTTTAATAATACACCGGCCCAATGTGCACACGCCACACTGGCCCACCAAATGCAAAGATTACATTCGAGAACCGGTAGCAGTCGCGAGATAGTTTCGTCGAGGATCGCGTGCCTGCGTAATTTGCTCGTTCGCCGATGTGTTTCTCCGTCGAAGTTAAGTTAATCAGTGGCTTTTGTCTTGAAACGCCTTTGCTCCGTAAGCTCTTCAACTGGCCAGCTAAAGGTTTCTGTAATCTCTAACGCTGCGCTAGATACGAAATATCGAAGCGATTTTCTCTCGTCGATCTTTAGTCTTCAATTTCACTGACCGATGAATGTGAAATGAAAATTAGAAAGGGAATAGTCGAAACTTCTTTGGAATACGTTTCCACTCTTACAATTAGAATTTTTTTTTTAATTCTCAAGTGGATGACTGTTGATGAGACAGGTCATTCGTTGTATTACGTACGCTATTTGAAGATTCAACGACGAAAATATGTACGTATTTAGTATAAGTTAAATATTAACTTCAACTGTGTATTCCACTTGAGGATTATAAAAAAAAAAAAAAAAAACTATACTCGTGTAAAGTTTCAAATCTTCAACTGAAATACTGTGTGACCGTTTCCCAAATATCTGTTGCGACGCGAAGACAATTGTCGTCAAAGGATCGAGGCAACGAGACAATTTTCGACTCGAGAAACGCATATATAATCCTATAATCATATTTGCATGTTAATTATAAAATTCCTTTGCTACCGAATACCTGTTAGAGCGCGATGTCGAACGACGAGAGATCGAATTCTTGAAAGTTGCTAATTACACGAGGATAAGATCTAACTGACGAAGAGAAGAGATTCAAACCGGCAGGTGGAACGGATATCGTTAGCGGTATCGATGATGTTCGTAGCCGATTGCGGAGGAAAACGTATCTCTCTTCGAAGGAGTGACGAGGAGCAGGGGGTGAGGAGGAAGGGGGATAACGTTTCCACTATGTTCCTATCGAGCGTAAAGCAATCGATACGGACGCGGGACTCTCGACTAAATTGTTTGGATTACCAAAGCAAACCTCCCTCCCCCCATTCTTGATCTCTCGTGAAATTTAATGATCGGCCGTGTCGTTGAGGAATTTAAATATTTTGTAATTCGCTTCGTTTCGTTTCCAACGGTGTTTAAACGAACAGTTACAGTTACAGTTCCTCAGGCCGTGGTTCGTGGGCGCACGTGGAAGCGCGACGAGAGCAACATTCGGCGACAACAGATTGGAAAATAAAACGCGGACGTAATGAGTTCGATGAAGAGGGAAGCGTCGGAGAGGACCTACGTGACAGATCGATCTCGGGGCTCGAAAGTGCAATATATTCAACGAGGCTCTCACCTTCTTTGTTGGCGCTGCTCTTGATCTCCGTGGCCTTCGGTGCCGCGGATGGCTTCGGAATTGCTGAAATGAAAATTATCCACTGAAATTGAAGTTTATTACGTATCGTATTGCGATCGATCAGTCACTTTCTATTTATCATTCATTTATTTATATGTCGACAATATTACACGTAGTAAGATGACGAAATCTTCAACTTACCAACAAGATGATTCTGAAACACATCTATCTGTTCATGTCGCGGAGGAATCACATCTACGTTCCCGAAATCATCGGCAGACTACTAGATAGAATATTTCATTCGAAATGAACAAGCGACTCGCGAACGAAAGTGGTGTTGAAAATTCAAAATGGACGAAGCGAATTGTAAACAAAAATGAAATTCAAAATTCGAAATGTGACATATGAGCAAAGGCGTGCGCCTATTCTACCTCTAGAATAAAGTAGTAGAAAGTAATTTTTCAAAATAACATCAACATGACGGCTCTTCGATCGTTATCGTCTTACCGTACAACCTGATCGAGCCCTCCGTCTCGCCCAACGAGTTCTTGCTGATGCAACGATAGTTGCCGAAGTCACCGTCCTGCAGATTTCTGATCGTCAGTCTCATGTACGCTCTGTAACTGTTCTCCATGATGTTGGTCGTGTACTTCTCGTTGGAAAGTATCATCTCGTCGCCGAGGAACCAGTAGCTCATCGCTCGTGGATAGGCCTCCGTGTGGCAGTCGATGGTGACATTGGTGCCGGGTGGCGCGCCGACCAGCTGATTCGGCACGAAGATCATCGGCGAGACTTGAACATTAAACGGAGATATCGGTTACCGCTTGAAACCCTCCGAAGGGAGGGAGGGGGAAAGCCCTGAATGTGCCACGGTGAATGAATGATCGTCCGCGGTGACGTTCACGCGGTTAACGATCAAGCCAACGCCATGGATGTTTATGGCTATCGAGCTATAACGATTTATCTTCCACGAAATCACTGACCGTGAATTATACCGAGCTGTTTCAGCGATTATGGAGATCGATGACCTCCTGAGAAGCTTAAAGCCTCTTTCGCGGAGGATGGATCTTAAATTGCCAGCGTTGAAGAAAGAAGAAACGAATCTCGCGTTTAATTTATTCTCGTTTCCACCGGGACGCGAGTTGATGAGTGAGCAAAGAACTCCGTCGAGAAGAATCTAAAGTTTGGTTATATTAACGAAATAAGTAGCAGAACAAAAAAAAAAAAAAAAAAAAAA